AGAATTTCCACAAGACATATCCAGTTTTACTGAAGACTGGAAAACCAGTGCAGATGCATTGCTTGAACTTCCCAGGGAAGGGATTCCATTTCAGAGTGATCTGCAAGAGGAAGATGCCTCTATGAAACCTACACATGAGGAGCTGCAGCCATCCGCAAACAGTACATAATCATTGGATCCTGCAGTGAGAAAGCAAGTTGTGTCAATTTTTTACATCCATTGGTGGAAGACAGAATGATTTCTTGTATGTCAGGCTCATCCCCTGGTTTGGACCATCTGCCTTCCTGCTTGCAGCTGATGGGTTAGATCACTGCATCCAAGGCTGTGAGCTGGCTAGGCTGATTCCTTCTGCAGGCAATGAGGCTAACCACGGTAGCTCTCCTGAGATCATTTTGCAGTTTGAATCACTAACTTGAAACTTTTGGAATACTGCCAGGCACACAGTAGGATTTAATGATATGCCACTGTTTGGGGACCCACTGCTTGGGAATATTTTACATTTTATGTGAAAAGTAGAAAAGCACTAATTGTACTCAGAATGTTTTAAGAGGCTACCGATGTGCCACCCAGTAGATGCAAAAGCAAGAATAGCTGATATATTCTGTATTAGGGAGTCTTCAAGTAGCAACAATGCATAAACAAAATATAGGTGTTCGCAATGTAGCAGATATTTGGACAGGTCTTCCACCTGCTGGTTCATTCCCAAATGGCCTCAACAGGTGGAACTGGGCCAACCCAAAGCCAGGAGACAGGAGCCTCTTCTGGGTCGCCCACATGGGTTCAGGGGCCCCAGAACTTGGGGCATCTTCCACTGCTTTGCCAGATCATGGCAAAGAGCCAGATCAGAAGAGGAGCAGCCAGGACTCAAACAGGCACCCATATGGGATGCCAGTGCTGCAGGTGAAGTCTTAGCTCACTATGCCACAGCACAGGTACCAAGTTTAAGCATCTTACAAATCAGATAATTGTCCAGAGACTTTAGCTGTTTTAGGACTTGTAATTATTTAGAGGAAGTCTGCAATGGATACATACTCACTTTCAACTGAATGCTTTTATACATTCTATTTTCATATATACACTGTGTTTTCCCAAAACAAGATTATTCCAAAATCTAAATTTGTCCCTTGTTAGCCCTTCCTCCAAAGTACACACATATTTTTTCTATATTTTATAAATATGATTTTTAGGAATCCACAGGAAACAGTTGTGCACCAACATGAGCTGCTCTATTTCAATGAGCTTTGTAGTATTCTCTGGTATAGCAGCTGAACTTTGCCCTCTCCCCCAAAGATCCTCTATCCCAGGCCTCTCTAAAAGTAGTCATTATCCTGAAATTTATAGCCACCCCTTTCTTGTCTGACTCTATAGTTTTATGAGTATCATATGTCTCCACCACTATGGTTTGGTCTTTTTCATTAAAAAGTAGTATGACGTCTTTTAATGAAAACCATTTCCTCCTCCCTACTCCCACTTTTTGCTCTCCTAAAATTTGTTATAATCTCAGAAAATTGACCGGTGCAATTCTCCAGTCTGGGACTCTCTGGATTAAGTTTAACTTGTTCCTTTGTCCTCTCTGTTTTCTGCAGGCAGACAGTGTTCCATCAAATTCATGCTCAGTCCCCTGGGCTCCACTTTGGGTTGTCAGATGACCATATCCTAATTATGTCATTGATTTTCATTTACTGACAGGAATCCTCTTTTTAAAAAATGGCCTCTCCTACCATCTTTCCGATTGCCCAGTGGTGCTGTTCACATGAGAGGAAGGTAGGATATACCCTTGTTCCTTTCTCTCCCTGCATCAGTTTCCAAAATAACAAAAAGATTCTCCAGCATCCTCAAAAGATGACAAATTATTACTTCCCAAAAATATTAAGAACTCATAGATCTAAACCTGTTTCCTTCAATTACATTTGGTATTTTATTTGAAACTGATTGAATATTTACAGGAAAATGTCAGGGCCAAGTGTTATTCATTAATAGTAACCTTGAATGTAAATGGCCTAAATTCTCCAGTTAAATGACAGATAGGGCCAATACCGTGGTGCAGTGGGTTAAAGCCATGGCCTGTAGTGCTGGCATCCCATGTGGGCACTGGTCTGAGACCCAGCTATTTCACTTATGATCCAGCTCCCTACTAAAGCACCAGGGAAAGCAGCATAGGATGGCCCAAATCCTTGAGCCCCTGTACCCATATGGGGGACCCAGAAGAAGCTCCTGGCTCGTGGCTTTTGCCTGACCCAGCTCCAGCCATTATAGCTATTTGGGAAGTGAACCAGCAGATGGAAGACCTCTCTCTCTCTCTCTCTCTCTAACTCTCTCTGTAACTCTGCCTTTCAAGTAAATAAAATAAGTCTTTAAAAGAAGATACAGACTGGCTAAATTGCTTTTTTAAAAAAAGGCCCATCTATTTGCTGCCTACAAGAAACACATCTCACCAACAAACATACATGAAAACCTAAAGTGAAAGGATGGAAAAAGTTATTCCATGTTAATGGAAAACAGAAACATTCAAGTGTACCCATCTTAATATCAGAAAATAGACTTCAACACAAAAATGTTAAAAAAGTTAAAAAGACAAGGACACTATGTAATGATGAAGGGGTCAATGCAACAGGAAGATGTGACTATAAAAAATGTATATGCACCCAGTGCCAGTGTGCCTGGCTATTTAAAACAAAGTTAATGTATCTAAAGGGAAACATAGATTCCAATTCAATAGTAATGGTGTACTTTAACACCCCACTTTCATCAATGGACAGAACAACTAGACAGAAAATCAACAAAGAACCCACAGAGCTAATCTACACCACTGAATAAATGGACCCAACTGATATCTGCAGAGCTTTTAATCCAGAGTTGAAGGATAAACATTCTTTTCATGAGTGCATGGAACTTTCTCTAGCACAGACCATATGTTAGGCCATAAAGCAAGTCTTTATTGTTTTATGAAATCATGCCATACCTCTCTTCTGACCACAATGGAATGAAGCTGGAAATTAACAACTTAAGAATCTCTAGAAAATATACAAACACTTGGAGACTTAACAACATGCTCCTAAATGATCAGTGGGTCACAAAAGAAGTGAAAAGACAAATCAAAAAATTCCTGAAAAATGAATGAAGATGACAATACAACATATCAAAACTTATGTTATACAGCAAAAGCAGTGATAAAAGGAAAGTTTAAAGCAGTTGGTGCCTAGATCAAGAAATTGAAAAGACATCAAATAAATGAGGCATCAGTGCATCTCAAGGACCTAGAACAAACAGCAACAAACCAAACCCAAATTTGGTAGGGGGAAACAAATAATTAAAATGAGGGAAGAAATAAAATTGAAACAAAAAATAACACAAAAGATCAGTGAAATGAAGAGCTGGTTTTTGAAAAAATAAAATAGATACATGATTGGCCCAACTAACCAAAAATAAAAGAGGGCAAAGACCCAAATCAATAGAATCAGAGATGAAAAAGGAGATTTAACATATAACAATGGAAATAAGAGTCATCAGGAATTACCAGAAACAGCTATATGCCAACAAATTGGAAAATCTAGAATAAATGTATAGATTCCTGGATACATACAGTCTATCAAAATTGAGTATTTAAGACAGAAAACCTAAAAAGACCAATAACCAAGACAGAGACTGATTCTATAATAAAGACTCCCCCAACAAAGAAAAGCCCAGGACCAGATGGCTTCACTGCTGAATTCTACCATACTTTTAAAGAAGAACTAATTCCAATACTTCTCAAATTTTTTCAAAACAATTGAAAGGGAGGGAATTCTCCCAAGCTGCTTCTATGAGACCAGCATCATATTACAAAATCAGAAAAATATAGAATAAAGAGAACTATAGACCAATATCACTGATGAACACAGATGTAAAAAGCCTCAACAAAATGCTAGTTAATCAAATCCATCAACACATCAGAAACATCATTCACCTGGATTGAGTGGCATTTATTCCTGGCATGCAGGCATGGTTGAACATAAACAAATCAATAAATGTGATATATCATATTACCAAATTGAAGAATAAAAAACATGATTATCTCAATAGGTGCAGAGAAAGCATTTGATAAGATATAACATCTTTTTATGATAAAAAAAAAAAAAATCTTGGGGCCGGCGCCATGGCTCACTAGGCTAATCCGCCGCCTTGTGGCGCCAGCACACCAGACTCTAGTCCCGGTTGCCCCTCTTCCAGGACAGCTCTCTGCTGTGGCCAGGGAGTGCAGTGGAGGATGGCCCAAGTACTTGGGCCCTGCACCCCATGGGAGACCAGGATAAGTACCTTGCTCCTGCCATCGGATCAGCGCGGTGTGCCGGCCGCAGCGCACCGGCCGTGGCGGCCATTGGAGGGTGAACCAATGGCAAAGGAAGACCTTTCTCTCTGTCTCTCTCTCTCACTGTCCACTCTGCCTGTCAAAAAAAAAATCTTAAGCAAATTGGGTATAGAAGGAACATACCTCAACACAATCAAGGCAATATTTGACAAACCCACTGCCATCATCATTTTGAGTGGGGGAAAGTCGGAAGCATTTCCACTATGATCTGGAACCAGAAAAGGATGCCCACGTTCACCATTGCAATTCAATTTTATTATGGAAGCTTTAACTAGAGTAATTAGGCAAGAAAAATAAATCAAAGAGATACAAATGGGAAAGGAGAAAGTCAAATTATCCCTGTTTGCAGGTGTTATGATTGTAAAGGGGAATCAAAAGATTTCATTGAGAGAATATTGGAACTCATAAGAGAGTTTGGTAAAGTTGTAGGATATAAAATCAACACACAAAAGCCAACAGCCTTTGTATATACAGACAATGCCATGACTGAGAAAGAACTTGTAAGATCAGGACCATTCGCAGTGGTTATTTAAAAAACTTTTTTTTTTTACTTTCATTTAATGAATATAAATTTCCAAAGTACAGCTTATAGATTACAATGGTTTCAACCCCCATAACTTCCCTCCCACCCACAACCCTCCCCTTTCCCTCTCCCTCCCCCTTTCCATTCACATCAAGATTCATTTTCAACTCTCTTTATATACAGAAGATCAGTTTAGTATACATTAAGTAAAGATTTCAACAGTTTGCACCCACATAGAAACACAAAGTGAAAAATACTGTTTGAGTACTAGTTATAGCATTAAATCACAATGTACAGCACATTGAGGACAGAGATCCTACATGAGGAGCAAGTGCACAGTGACTCCTGTTGTTGACTTAACAAATTGACACTCTTGTTTATGGCATAAGTAATCACCCTAGGCTCTTGTCACACATCTGATCATATTTAGACAAGGTCATAGTCAAAGTGGAAGTTCTCTCCTCCCTTCAGAGAAAGGTACCTCCTTCTTTGAAGACCTGTTCCTTTCACTGGGATCTCACTTGTGGAGATCTTTCATATAGGGTGTAGGTTTTTTTTTTTTTTTTTTTTGCCAGAGTGTTTTGGCTTTCCATGCCTGTAATACTCTCATAGGCTTTTCAGCCAGATCCGCGTGCCTTAAGGGCTGATAATGAGGCCAGAGTGCTGTTTAGACATCTGCCATTCTATGGGTCTGCTGTGTATCTCGCTTCCCATGTTGGATCATTCTCTCCCTTTTTATTCTATCAGCGAGTATTTGCAGACACTAGTCTTGTTTATGTGCTCCCTTTGGTCTTAGTCCTATCATTATGATCAATTGTGAACAGAAATTGATCACCAGGACTAATCAGATGGCATTGGTACATGCCACCTTGATGGGATTGAATTGGAATCCCCTGGTATGTTTCTAACTCTACCATTTGAGGTAAGTCAGCTTGAGCATGTCCCGAATTGCACAACTCTTCCCTCTCTTACTCCCACTCTTGTATTTAACAGGGATCACTTTTCAGTTAAGTTTCAACACTTGAGAATAACTGTGTATTGATTACAGTATTCAACCAAAAGTATTAAGTAGAACAACTAAACAAAAAAATACTAAGAGGGATAACGTATTAAGTTGTTCATCAACAGTCAGGGCAAGGGTTGATCAAGTCACCGTTTCTCATAGTGTTCATTTCACTTTAACAGGTTTCCTTTTTGGTGCTCAGTAAGTTGTCACCAATCAGGGAGAACATATGGTATTTGTCCCTTTGGGACTGGCTTATTTCACTCAGCATAATGCTTTCCATATTCCTAACAGGCATCACTTTTCAGTTAAAATTTAAAACCTAAGAATAATTGTGTGTTAATTACAGAGTTCAACCAATAGTACTAGAACAAAAAAAATACTAAAATGGATGAAGTATTACATCGTACATCAACAGTCAGGACAAGAGCTGATCAGGTCACTGATTCTCATAGTGTCCATTTCACTTCAACAAGTTTCCCCTTTGGTGCTCATTTAGTTGTCGCCGATCAGGGAGAACATATGATATTTGTCCCTTTGGGACTGGCTTATTTCACTCAGCATGATGTTTCCCAGATTCCTCAATCTTGTTGCAAATAACCGGATTTCGTTGTTTTTTACTGCTGTATAGTATTCTATAGAGTACATGTCCCATAATTTCTTTATCAAGTCTACTGTTGATGGGCATTTGGGTTGGCTCCAGGTCTTAGCTATTGTGAATTGAGCTGCAATAAACATTAAGGTGCAGACAGCTTGTTTGTTTGCCAATTTCATTTCCTTTGGGTAAATTCCAAAGAGTGGGATGGCTGGGTTGAATGGTAGGGTTATATTCAGATTTCTGAGGAATCTCCAGACTGACTTCCATAGTGGCTTAACCAGTTTGCATTCCCACCAACAGTGGGTTAGTGTCCCTTTTTCCCCACATCCTCTGCAGCATCTGTTGTTGGTAGATTTCTGCATGTGAGCCATTCTCACCGGGGTGAGGTGAAACCTCATTGTGGTTTTGATTTGCATTTCCCTGATTGCTCGTGATCTTGAACATTTTTTCATGTGTCTGTTGGCCATTTGGATTTCCTCTTTTGAAAAATGTCTCTTGAGGTCCTTGGCCCATCTCTTAAGCGGGTTGTTTGTTTTGATGTTGTGGAGTTTCTTGATCTCTTTGTAGATTCTGGTTATCAACCCTTTATCTGTTGCATAGTTTGCAGATATTTTTTCCCATTCTGTTGGTGGCCTCTTCACTTTCCTGACTGTTTCTTTTGCAGTACAGAAACTTCTCAATTTGATGCAATCCCAAATGTTAATTTTGGTTTTGACTGTTAAAGAAGTCTTTGCATGTACCTATATCTTGCAGGGTTTTTCCAATGCTCTCTAGTAATTTGATGGTATCGGGTCGTAGATTTAAGTCTTTAATCCATGTTGAGTGAATTTTTGTGTAAGGTGAAAGGTAGGGGTCTTGCTTCATGATTCTGCACGTGGAAATCCAATTTTCCCAGCACCATTTATTGAATAGACTGTCCTTACTCCAGGGATTGGTTTTAGATCCTTGATCAAATATGAGTTGGCTGTAGATGTTTGGATTGATTTCTGGTGTCTCTATTCTGTTCCATTGGTCTATCCATCTGTCTGTACCAGTACCGTGCTGTTTTGATAACAACTGCCCTGTATTATGTCCTTAAATCTGGTATTCTTATGCCTCTGGCTTTGTTTTTGTTGTACAAGATTGCTTTAGCTATTCGAGGTCTCCTGTGTCTCCACATGAATTTCAGCATCATTTTTTCCAGATCTGAGAAGAAGGTCTTTGGTATCTTGATTGGTATCACATTGAATCTGTAAATTGCTTTTGGGAGAATGGACATTTTGATGATATTGATTCTTCCAATCCATGAGCATGGAAGATTTTTCCATTTCTTGGTATCCTCTTCTATTTCTTTCTTTAAGGTTTTGTAATTTTCATCGTAGAGTTCTTTAACGTCCTTGGTTAAGTTTATTCCAAAGTATTTGATTGTTTTTGTAGCTATTGTGAATGGGATTGATCTTAGAAGTTCTTTCTCAGCATGGTATTGCCTGTGTATACAAAGGATGTTGATTTTTGTGCATTGATTTTATACCCTGCTACTTTGACAAACTCTTCTATGAGTTCCAATAGTCTCTTTGTAGAGTTCTTTGGGTCCCCTAAATAAAGAAACATATCATATGCAAAGAGGGATAGTTTGAGTTCTTCCTTCCCCATTTGTATCCCTTTAATTTCTTTTTCTTGCTTAATAGCTCTGGCTAGAACTTCCAGAACTATATTGAATAGCAGTGGTGAGAGTGGGCATCCCTGTCTGGTACCAGATCTCAGTGGAAATGCTTCCAACTTTTCCCCATTCAATATGATGTTGGCCTTGGGTTTTTCATAAATTGCTTTGATTATATTGAGGAATGTTCCTTCCATACCCAGTTTACTTAGAGTTTTCATCATGAAAGAGTGTTGTATTTGATCAGATGCTTTCTCGGTGTCTATTGAGATAATCATATGGTTTTTCTTCTGCAGTCTGTTAATGTGGTTTATCACATTGATTGTTTTGCGCACATTAAACCATCCCTGCATACCAGGGATAAATCCCACTTGGTCTGGGTGGATGATCTTTCTGATGTGTTGTTGCATTCTATTGGCCAGAATTTTATTGAGGATTTTTGCATCTATGTTCATCAGGGATATTGGTCTGTAATTCTCTTTCAATGCTGCATCTTTTTCTGGCTTAGGAATTAAGGTGATGCTGGCTTCATGGAAAGAATTTGGAAGGATTCCCTCTTTTTCGATTGTTCTGAATAGTTTGAGAAGAATTGGAGTCAGTTCTTTAAATGTCTGGTAGAATTCAGCAGTGAATCCATCTGGTCCTGGGCTTTTCTTTGTTGGGAGGGCCTTTATTACTGTTTCAATTTCTGTCTCAGTTATGGGTCTGTTTAGGTTTTCGATGTCTTCCTGGTTCAATTTAGGTAGGTTGCATGTGGCCAGGAATCTATCGTTTCTGATAGGTTTCCCTGTTTACCTGCATACAGGTCCTTGTAGTAATTTCTGATGATTCTTTTTATTTCTGTGGTGTCTGTTGTTACATTTCCTTTTTCATCTCTGATTTTATTGATTTGGGTCTTTTCTCTTCTTATTTTAGTTAGTTGGGCCAATGGGGTGTCAATTTTGTTTATTTTTTCAAAAAACCAGCTCCTTGTTTGGCTGATTTTTTGTAATGTTTTTTTGGATTCATTCCTGTTGATTTCTTCTCTGATTTTAATTATTTCTCTTCTCCGACTAGATTTGGGTCTGGTTTGCTGCAGATTTTCTAGATCCTTGAGATGCAGTGAAAGCTCATCTATTTGGTGCCTTTCCAATTTCTTGATGTAGGCACCTATTGATATAAACTTTCCTCTTAACACTGCTTTTGCTGCATCCCATAAGTTTTGGTATGTTTTGCTGTTATCCTCATTTACTTCCAGAAAATTTTTGATTTCTCTTTTGATTTCTTCTATGACCCATTGTTCATTCAGGAGCATGTTGTTCAGTCTCCATGTGTTTGCATACTTTCTGGGGTTTCCTGAGTTGCTAATTTCCAACTTCATTGCTTTATGGCCTGAGAAGCTGCATGGTATGATTCTAATTCTTTTTAATTTTCTGAGACTTGCTTTATGGCCTAGTATGTGGTCAAACCTTGAGAAGGTTCCATGTACTGCTGAGAAGAATGTAAATGCTTTCTGTGTAGGATGAAAAGTTCTGTATATATCTGTTAGATCCATTTGGGCTATAGTGTCGTTTAAATCTACTGTATCCTTGTTGATCTTCTGTCCAGATGATCTGTCTATTTCTGAGAGTGGAGTATTGAAGTCCCCCAGTACTATTGTATTGGGGTCTAAGTCTCCCTTTAAGTCCATTAACAAATCTTTTAGATAAACCGGTGCCCTGTAATTAGGTGCATATACATTGATAATTGTTATATCTTCCTGTTGAATTGATCCCTTAATCATTATATAGTGCCCCTCTCTGTCTCTCTTAACAGTTTTTGTATTGAAGTTTATGTTGTCTGATATTAAGATGGCTACGCCTGTTCTTTTTTCATTTCTGTTGGCATGGTATATATTTTTCCAGCAGCTGGGCTTCCAGCCGGTGGGCGACCTTGCTCTCCCCTGAGGTCCTCCAAGTCACAGCCTCTAGATCCGGAAGAGTTTCCTCTGCAGTTTTTCCCTGATCCTTTTCCTGAGGCTACCGTAACTCCACTTTTATTAAACTATCTTTTCCCGGACTGTCGGTGCGTGCCCTCGCTATTCCGCCATCTTGGCTCCGCCCCCCTTATTTAAAAAACTTAAATGCTTTGGAGTAAATTTAAACAAGGATTTGAAAGATCTATTACAAAACATTAAAGCAAGGAATAGAAAAAGACACAAAAAAATGAACAAGTGTTCCACTTCATAGATTGGAAGAATCAATATCATCAAAATGTCCATACTACCAAAAGCAATTTACAGATCCAATGCCATCCCAATTAAAATACCAATGACATGCTTCTCAGATATAGAAAAAATACTAAAATTCTATGGAAACACAAGAGTCTCCAATTGCTAAAGGAATTTTAAACAACATAAACAAAGCTAGATGGATTATAACACCACACTTCAAGTTAAGAAATGGGCAAAGGGCTTTAGTAGGCATTTTTTCAAAAGAAGAAATTCAAATTATCAACAGACACATGAACAAAAGCTCAGGATTACTAGCCATCAGGAAAATGCAAATCAAAACCACAATGAGATTTCACCTCATTCCAATTAGAATGGCTCTCATAAAGAAGTCAACAAACAATAAATGCTGATGAGAATGTTGGGGGAAATGTACCCTAATCCACTGTTGGTGGGAATGTAAAATAGTATGCCATTGTGGAAGATAGAATGGAAATACCTCAGGAAACTGGAAATACCACATGACCCATCAATCCCATTCCTGGGAATTTACCCAAGGGAAATCAAATCAGCATTTGAAGAGTTATCTGCAACCCAATGTTCATTGCAGCTAAATTCACTACAGCTAAGATATAAAATCAATCCAGATGTCCATCCACTAATGACTTGATAAAGAAATTGTGTGTGTGCGTGTGTGTTTGTGTGTGTGTGTGAATAGTATGGAACGCTACTCAGCCATAAAAAAAGTATGAAATGCTGTCATTTGCAACAAAAAGGGGGCAACCAGAAACCTTTATACTTAGTTCAATAAAGCCAGTCCCAACAAGACAGATACCATATGTTTTCCCTGATCTGAGGTAACTAAGAGTAGCCCAAATGTAATGTATAGGAGTAAAATTGACCTTTTGAGCTCCAATGATTGTTTCCCATCCTTGTCTCTACTGTTGAGGAGTAGTGTTTTTTTCTCCATACTATTTGTTGAACTCATTACTTAGTGTCAGGTTAATTTTATGAGTAAACTGAAAGTAGATCATTGTAAAAATTGAGCAGGAATAGGAGAGGAATTAGAAGGAAGTGTGGGAGTGGGAGTGGTTGTGGGATGGAGGATAGGGTGGGAAGCATCACTGTTCCTAAATCTGCACACATTAAGTACATGAACTTTGTATACATTAAATAAATTTTTAAAACATAAAATATGAGTGTGTTAGAATCAGCACCTTTCAGAACTAACAAATTGGGGCCAGTGTAGTGGTGTATTGAGTAAAAGTTGCCTCCTGTGAGCCAGCCATCCCATGTTGGTGCCAGTTCATGTCCCAGCTGCTCCACTTCTAATCCAGCTCCATGCTAATGGCCTGGGAAAAGTAACTGAAGATGGCTCAAGTCCTTGGGTCCCTGCCCCAGGTGCAAGACCCAGATAAAATTTATGGCTCCTGGATTCGACTTGGCACAGTCCTGGCCATTGCAGCCATTTGGGGGAGTGAACCAGCAGAAGGAAGACCTTTTTGTCTGTCTCTCCCTCTCACTGTAACTCTACCTCTCAAATAAATAAATAAAATCTTAAAAAAAAAAAAAAAAAGGAAGAAAAGAAAGTGTAGTCCTGGCAGAGGGGACAGGAAGAGGTGCTTGAGTCTCATACAAGGGCTTCCACCATCCCACACTCCCAGTCAAGAAGCAGTGAGCAGCAGAAGAGACTGAAATTTTGGGGATGTTTTTGGTACCCAATGGGAGTGTTACATGTAATGTACAGTGAAAATGGAAGACTCTGGCCAGGATCTCATTTACGAGAGCTGCCAATAGAGAAGCTGCCATGTCATGATTTAGACCCCAGCTAGTTAAGCCTCTCTGGTGAGGAGCTCAGAGAGCGTTCAGTTCTTCTTACTCAGGTAGGTGTTCACTATCCATCATCTGAACTTCAATCTACCTCCCCTGCAACTTCTTACAGAGAGAGCATGCTCCCACCAGTCTCCTTGTCAATAACGTTTGGTTCCTGTAATTTTAACATGATAATGAAATAATTTTGATGCCAAAAAACTGAAATCCATGCCTATCAAGGGCTCTTCAAAATATTCATGGAAAATTATGACAAAGCTATGCATAGGTTTAAAAGTGATTTTCACCAAAATAACTGCACCTATTCCATTTTTCATGAATTCTTAAAGTCCCTCTGTATGCTGATGTCTGTTTAGTGCATAAATCTCCTGTGAGTCATGCCAATGGGTAGACTGACACATGGGATATTTGTTTGCCTGAACCTTAAAACTAAGTGACCCAGGGTCGGTGCCGTGGCTCACTTCGTTAATCCTCCACCTGCGGCGCCGGCATCCCATATAGGTTCCGGGTTCTAGTTCTGGTTGCTCCTCTTCCAGTCAAGCTCTCTGTTGTGGCCTGGGAAGGCAGTGAAGGATGGCCCAAGTGCTTGGGCCCCTGTACCCATATGGGAGACCAGAAGGAAGCACCTGGCTCCTGGCTTTGGATCAGCATAGCTCCAGCCATAGTGGCCATTTGGGGGGTGAACCAATGGAAGGAAGACCTTTCTCTCTGTCTCTCTCTCACACTGTCTAAACTCTGTCAAATAAATTAAAAAAAAAAAACTAAGTGACCCAGGAGCCCAGCTCAGCTGATGTCTCTCTGTTGCAGGGGGGCCTGTATGGCACCCAAGGAGCCCCCTGTGAGAGCCCTGCCTCCTCTGACCACAGGGAAGCAACTGGTACAGAGTGGAGATGAAGGACAGAACAGGAGCAGGAGGGTGTGTGGTGGCAGATGGGTGGCTCTTGGCTAGGAGCCTGGCAGCCCTGACCCCAGCCGGCTGCAGATCCCCAGGCACAGGGACACATGCATATTAGCCTCAGTGTCCCCAGTGCTTGTGACACCACATGGTCCAGCAACCAGAGGACTGGGGAGCCCTGTGGGTTTCAGTTGGTGATCTGTCTGGCTTCTACCAGGTGTCCAGTATTGTTGGGGGCCAAAGTACGAACACCCACTCCAATCCTGACCTTCAGAGCATCCTGGAACTGAACATAGAAGGGATGGCTGCACGTGGGAGGGAGAAGGAAAAGTGGGACACCTGCTATGGCTGTGCCATTTCAAGGGCTGCCCAGGAAGCCCTCTCTCTGCCACCTCCAGGAGAGGTTCTAGAGGGAGTGGCAAGTGATGTGTGGAGCGCTCAGGGTGGTGATCACGCAGCTGTTCACGGTTTTGGTGGGGCCTCCTGGGGAGAGGTACATAGGAAGCAGTGTGTGACATGGTGGCTACCACTGTGGTCCCAGTGCTGAGGTGAGGTCAGAGCTTGAGAGCAGGGAGCCTGCTGAAAGGTGAAGGGGAAATGGCAGACAGGAGGTGGCAACCTGGGGACCATGTGGGGTGTGGGGCTGAGTGTCCTCACCACTGGGTGAAGCCTCAGTGTCCCCAGAAAGAGGAGGCCTTGGCAACCCCTGGGGTCCTCTCTGTGTGAGGAGCAGGTGGTGTCTCCCCAGCCATGAGGCCAAGAGCTGGGACCTAGGCTGGGGATGTGTCTAGGAACATGGCCAGGACCTAGGCTGATGGGGGTTCACAGGGGGCATCCCTAGGAATTGGTTTGGGGGAGGGCAAGAGAGGCTGCAGCCACAGGTGTGTCCCAAACCCCCTTGCATCCACTCCAGTATGCAGGATGGATGGAAGAGGTGGAGACAACAGACAGGAAGGGCCCCATGTGACACTCTGGGGGACAGGAGCAATGCCTCAGTGCAGGTTCACCTGCCTCCCTCCTGGGCTTCTTCCACCCCATGCCTGGTGGGCAGGGCTGGCTCACCATGTTGCCATGTGAGCCTCCTGGCCACAGAAGCACAGCATGGGTGCTGTGAGGGAGACATGGGCTCTGAGAGGTGTGTATTCTGCCCTACTGGGCACATCCTGCCTGACACGCTGCCTGTGTCTACCCAGCAGGATGAGCTTCCCCACAGCTGTGTCCTTGGCCCTCCTTGGAGAGCCCGGGAATTAAACAATAGCTGCCTAGCTCCTTGCACCAATGCCAGGTTTCCACAGGCAGAATGGCTGCAAGATACCGAGACTGACTTTGTCTCATGGACGCCCCCGTGTGGCCCTGGGAGCTGCATTCCCCACCCCCGCCCCCACCTCCAGTTCCAATCCTGCTTGTCCCCACCCCTGTCCTGTGCAAAACTCATATTTTGCTCTGTGTCCACCTGGATGGGATTTGGGGACATGGTCTAGTGACACAGGTCCTGGTTCTCTCTGCAGTGCCTGGGACAGCATTGCCTTGAGCTGCGCCTGGGAGCTGCCTGCAGGCTCTGCCTGAGTCCATAGAGCAGGGCAGAGGGAGAGGACGAGGTCCCAGCAGCATCCCTCCCTCCTCCCCTCTCTCCTGCCTGCTCCACTGGGGATGCCCTCGCTGGCTCCTTGCAGCCATCCCTGAGGCCTGCCCATGGTAAGGCTTTGTGGGCCAAACTGGACAGGCAGCAGAAAATGAACCAGGAACTGAGTAGAAGATTTCTTAAAAGGTCTCCCATGTCCCCAGGAGTTGGGCCTTGGCCCCCTGGGTGACAGGGCTGGAGGACATTTAGGGTAGAAGCAGTGCCTTGTTTGCTTGGAGGCGGAGGCAGGGTAAGTAAGATGTGCATGCTTTGGGAGAGGCGCACTCCCAGAGTGAGCGGCCCTCGGCTGCCACAGGACAGAGCCCAGCTCAGGGCAGGCCAGGAGGGCTGGAGCCAGGACCTTGTACCACTTCCCATAGCACAGCGCCAGCAGCCTAGGCCTGGGGAGACACCGGCGCACCCTGATTGTGAGCAGCGAGCGCCTTGATCCCTGCGGGCCTGCAGCCCTGTTTCTGTGTCCGCGGTCCTGCACCATCCCCGCCTGAGCTGGGCTCCACCACGGGAAGGCCGGCAGCTCCTCAGCGGGCCTCTTGCAGCAACACCAAAGAGCAGCCATCTGTCCCCAAGCGCTCCGGACGCGCGCCGCCTCTGCTCCCGCACCCCAACCGCCTTGTCCTGGGCTCGCGCCGCCCTCCTCCAACGGAAAGCGCCTCGGAGCCCCTGAAAGCCTGGAAGGGACGCGATCCGCAGCCCCAGCTCAGCTCCGTGAGGACTCGAGGGAGAGGCCGCAGCGCCTGGGCCGCGCACCCCGCCAGCGAGTGCCCCTGCTCCCAGCGCCCACGCCGGGGCGCCATCCCTGAGCCAGATTCGCAGGCCGTCGGGAGAGGCTCGCGGAGCTTCCCCTGTGGCCGTCCGCGCCATCAGCGGTGGCTCCCACCCCATGGGCAGCGATCCCCAGGCCCGCCGCGGGCTCAGCACTCTTTCCCCCGCGGCTTTTCCGAGGCGGCCGTCGGATGAAGCCAGCGCAGCCCCAGTCGGGGCCCGCGGGAGCCTGCCCCATGGTGCTCCTGAAGGTGGCCTCCGCCAATGGCCACGTGGCGCTCCGCGTGGCCCTGCAGCAGGCCCTGCTGTGCGTCTGGGTCTCGCTGGCCGGCCCCCTGTCGCGCCCTCACGGGGGAAGGTCCCTGAGCAGGCCCCGGGAAGTGGGCACTCGGGTGAAATCCCGGGGAGGGAGCGACCCGCGCGGCCTGGAAGGGAGAGGGCGAGGAGCAGTGAAGCCCGAGGGCGGCCGCGTGGTGCCCAGCGGTCAGGACGCTCCGGACAGCGGCTCCCAGGCCAGGGAGAGTGCCCCATCGGCGTTTAGGCGCCTGCAAGTCGGCGGGGTCGCTGCTTGCTTCATGCCCAGGCCTGGGCCTCTGAAGAGGGACTCGTGTCCCAAGAGCCAGAAGGGGAACCCCCAGGCCCTCTGCAGGTTGCCAGGCAGCGAGCGCCCGCGGGGCAAAGACGGCCCAGCCTTAGCTGCTGTACAGGCACCACATGCGAAGACCCCCGAGGAAGGCCCACAGGCCAGCGCTCCTGCCTCCTGCAGGGAAACCCAGCAGGAGAAAGCTGCAGGCCCGCTCTCAGGGCAGCGGGAAAACCCGTGGCCTTGCTCACCTCTGAGAGACCCAGCCAGGCCCCTGCAACGGAAGACGCCTCTGCTGCTGCCCTGCAGAAGACAGGAGCCGCTGGTGCTGCCCCTGCCTCCCGACCCAGGCTACAGAGTCACCGCCAAGGACCTGGACTTGGAGAAATGCGCTGCGCTCCTGTGGATCAACAAGGTGTTGCGGGGTAAGGCTGGGGCCGCCTTTCCTGGTTCGCACCCTGCATGCCACAGGGCTGTCCTCCACCACAGGGGACAGGGAAGCGCATCGCTCCGGCCTCGAGGCCCGGCCACAGGCTGCTGGTGTGGCTGCTCTGTGGCTCCTCCTTAAAGCCCACCTTGCTTGACCAGGCTGGGAAGAAATTGGTGCCCTGGCCCTGGCCCCCAGGGGTCAGTATGGCCCTGACTGGTGTCTTGGAGGAGGGTGGTGGGAGACAGCCATGAGTCTATGCATCTAAAGGAGCCCAGGCGACCCCACTCCCACCCCAGGGGGGTGCCCTGGACCCACAATGGTTAACACCCCTGAGACCCTACTGCCAGACGTCCCCTGCCACGTTGGGTGGCTGGAGGGGGCTAGGCTGCCCCCAGCTGGTCAGGTCCTTGCAGTGGGAGGGAGACACCTGGAGGCAGTTCCCTGCAGGCAGGATGCCTCTCTGCTTCCTGAATTGCAGCCTTTGACAAAGAACACACACAAATGTGCAGACATGTGTCGCTGAGTGACACCATTAAGTTCCGAGAAATGCATCACTCAGCGATGCTACCACCATGTGGCATCCCATAGTGACTCAAGCACACCTGCATGCTATGCATCTGTAACTCAGGTGGCCACTGGATGCAGGCAGATGACACGGCGAACATGAGCCATTGGAGGCTGCTGCTGCTGCATCACTGTTTGCAATCAATGTCTTTATGTGTAGGGATTCACTCTAAAACAGATGTGAAAGTGCACGTTCACAGAGAATGCACAGTATCCTGCATTTCAATTCTTTATTACACCAAAACAACTTTTTAAGAAAGGTTTATTGCATTTATTTGAAAGGCAGAGTTAGAGATAGATGGAGAAACTGACAGAGAGAGAGAGAGAGAGAGAGAGAGAGAGAGAGAGAGAGAGAATCTTCCAATCTGCTGGTTCACTCCCTAAACAGCCACAATGGCCAGAGCTGGGCTGGTCCGAAGCCAGGAGCCAGGAGCTTCATCTGGGTCTTCCACATGGATGCAGAGGCCCAAACACTTGGGCCATCTTCTAGCTTTCCCAGGCGCATTAGTAGAGAGCAGCATCAGAAGTGGAGTATCCAGGTCTAGAAACAGTGCCCATGTGGGATGCCAGCAATGCAGGTGGAGGCTTAACCTGCTAAGCCACAACTCCGGCCTTGCTCCATTGAATATTAGGGTCACCATTGTACCAGCTGTCCTTTGTGGAAAAGGAGAGCAGTGTGCATCATAGGGTATTGTGACTGCTTCCGTGTCGCATTGGCTCACTCAGTGGCAGAGACAAAATTGCCTGAGTCAGACCTGACTGTGTATCTGGTGTCCCGTGGACCAGCTAGAGGGACCCCACTGGCTGTCAGTGCTGACTTCCGGATCCTGTGTTCTCAGAGTGTGGGATGGCAGCTCCTCCTCCTGCTTCCGACTTGCCCCCAGGCTGGGCTACATCAGGCCAAGCTGTGTGTGAGAGATAACTATACGGGACAGTTTCTCTCTATTAGAAATGTGGGATTTGCTATGATTTGGGTCTTATAGAAGAGTTGTGAGGACAGTACAGAGAATCTGCGTGTACTCTTCCCTGCACATCTTCCACTGTGGGCATCCTACAGGACAGAGTGAAGCCGGGAAATTCACACAGCTACACCACTGCTGCCGGGCTCACGTCAAAATTCAGATACCCATTTTCCAACCACGTTTCCATTCTCCCCAGCATCAGTCCAGAATCCCATGGTGTTTCAGGTAATGCGTCCTGCAGTCAAGTTCTCCATGGCAATATCTTTTGTGACCGTGACGTATTTGGGGAGTGAACAAGCAGATGGAAGACTCTCTCCCTCTCTCTCTCTCTCTCTCTCTCTCTCTCTCTTCTCTCTGTCTCTCCATCTCTCTCTGTAACCCTTTCAAATAAATAAAAATCTTTTAAAAATTAATCTTCAGGCCAATATTTAATATTATTGCTGTATAATTAGTTACTGAAATTGTTGCAGATTTGGCCTTGTCAGTTCTTTCCGGTTACCTCCTGAGCCCCTTGCGCATGCCTGCCCACATCTTTTTTCTAAGCACTTCTTTACATGTTAGCCCCACAGAATGTTCCAGAATCCTCTCATATTTTACCTGCTCCAGTTCTGGGATCAATGACTTCTTCAGGGAGCTTTGCTTCCTTTTATTGGAGAATGAAATTTACATTCACAATCAAATCTATGTGCACATAGCTATCTCTGCTTCCAGATCCTTGTAGGAGACAGCTAGGAAACGTGTCTGTGTGTGTGTCTGTGTGTACGTGTGTGTATACAGATTCTTCCCATTTATATGCACCTGCCTGGATTTCTGTGTTCCTCTCTGCACAATGTGTATGACAGACCCCCAAGTTTCCAGTGTACAGCCACAGGGTTCCTTCCAGAAATGCCCCCCTTGAATACCTAGAACATCTTTCTCCAGCAATTTCTCAGAAGATCCTGGTCTAGTTATCTAACTCCTGTCACTTACCTGTTCATCCCTCCTATACACAGCTGAGTAATCCGCCAGCAGTATTTGAGATTGGTTCCGCCTGTCCATAGCCTTGGAGTCTCCAGGCGAACACCGGCTGTGTTTATCCGGATGACTGGGTTCAGCTTCCTTCCGTGTTGTTGTGGGGTTCCTTTGCCACACCTGCATTCAGATTCATCTGTCACACTCTGCCTCCATCTTGGGTCCCTCGGACAGCCTGTTTAAAATCTATTTGCAAACAGACACGCTGTTTGTGGTGTGCACTTCTATTTTGTTGAGTCTTTTTATGACATTTGTGGGAAAATTTCTTGTGGTGCTTCTGGAAAGAGAGCTCTTCCTCCTTTTTTCCAAGGAATTTGTCAGAGGATTGGTCGGGTTCCTCCTGCAGGTGTTTGGGGGATTCACCTATGAGCCATCTGCACTTGAGTTTTTCTTTCTGAGAGGACTTCAAACTCCTAATTCCATCTCTTTACTTGCTGTGGGTCTACTGTTCGTAATTCTTCTTGCTGTGTTTCCCTGGGATCTGCCTCTCATTTAAATCATCTACAAGTGGCATTAACTGCCCACATATGCTTGTAACTCTGTCATCTGTGAGATGTCCTTGCTGCTTCCTGCTGCGGCGGAGGAACGCCTTCTCCCTGCATCTGTGTCTCTCTCTTGCCCAATCTGCTTCTCTTTCTGCTCAACACGGCTAGAGATCTGTCACAGAATCAACTTCCATGGTTTCTACTTCTCTATTATTTTGCTGTTTTCTAATTGCTTTAGTCTCCTGTGTTTCTGTGTCATTTCTTCTGCTTTATTTGGGAATGGGTTACTCTACTTTTACTAACTTCTTTTTTTTTAACTTTTA